TTGCAGCACACCAAAGCAATGAGGTGAGAAACAGATAAGGCTGAAACTCCTGAAGTTCCTCATCTGGGATGCCTGAAAAGCAGTACCTAGATGGCAACTCCTGCTGCTGAGATGGGAGCTTTCTCTCTGATTTCTATATTTGCTTCCGTTCTCCTCTGTTTTACCTGTTCTCTGCCTCTTCAAATGACAAGGGTCAGTCTCCTCATTCTCCCTAAGTTGGGCAAATGTCCAGCTGGGCATGGAGAGGGAGAAAGGAAAAGAGATTGTTAGCAGCCTTAGAATAGCATATAAATCATGGGCTGTATCCATTGCTCAGCTCCACCACAGGGATTTGGAATGGATTGACACTGTTTTCCCACTTGCAAAAGAGAGATAATCAGTCTTCCTAATACAGTTGCTGGGAGAAAGTTTGGCTTTGCTCATTATGCCCTTTGAGGTTGTTAAAGAGCAGGCTAGCTGGTCTATCACCCGGTGGGAAGGCACTCTGTGACTTGAAATACAGCAGCTCTTTGCAGGGGGGAGGATCATAAATTCCACAGGGCACCAGATAAACTGGAGGAGGTGAAAACACAAAGGGGCAGTTGAAGTTTCAAATCCCTTCCCCCCCATCTCCTGCCTCCTTCCTCCCACCTTTGCCATGCCAACATAACAATAACCTTGACAGCCCTCTCCATCACTGGGGAGCATCATCTGAGAGCTAACAGAGCTCTGCAGCACCAGATCCTGCTGCCCATGGGCCGTGCCTGTCCCTAATCCCCGTTCCTCCCCACTTGGTCAGCAAGAGGATGGCTTGAGCAGCCTCTCACCTGGGAAAAACTGAGGAGGAATGGTGATGGAGGGAAGGAGAAGGCTGGAGGGGGGCAGGGGGAATGGAGGGTTGCAGCAGTGGGATGGAAAATCTGGAGCTGAACAGAAGGAAAAAATGGAGTTCCTGAGGTAAAAGCTGGAAGGGTAGAAAGGAGCACACAGACATGCTTGCAAAAGGAAGGCAGCAGGTGGGAGCACGGAGGAAGCACGGTCTGTCAGTAGGAGCTGGTGTTGCACACATTTCCTGGCAAGTGGGAAAAGATGAGAGGTCACACAGAGGCTCTTTCCCAGCACACACAGCTCCAGGTATGTGCACTCAGTTAGCAACCAACTTCACCTGGCACTGCTGGAACAGTTTTGGGACCAGGCCAGAGATCCACAAAGTAACACCCCCTTCATTTGGTGCAAACAGTGCCCACTTTGCCCAGCTTCAGCCCTGACTGTTTGTCTTCCCCATGGCAGAGTGGTGATCAGTCACACAGTGGTCACCCAACTTGTTCTGCTGCTTTGGTTGGGCAACACTGAACAGTTACAGGAGAGTTCCCATGAGGATGAAGACAAGGAAAACAAGGCTGTATTTAAAAGTGTTTCCAATGTAATCATTTTGGAAGGGAGGAGAAGAGGAGGGAAGACAGCACTCAGAGCAGCAACAACCCAAGTATGGGCACAGTTATACTGAAAAGGAGCACTTTTAATAGGAAAGCTTATTTCACTTTTTCAAGGAAAGAATATTTCACTTGGGAATTCCTGTAAACAACACCAACAAGTGTTTTGTGTGGAGAAGTATGTATACAACAGCCTAGAAATGCACCCAGGGCACTGTGGTATGACAAACTCCTGCTCATCGGCTGCGTGTCGCCTGGGGTGGAACATCTGAGCTCACAACATGTGTGGGGTCATTGCAGACAGACAAACAGGCTGCAATCATTATTTATTGGTAGTTTGTTACCACACCTAGACAGTGTCTCTAAAGCACTAAAAGGTGTGCTGTGCAGGGAAAATGAGGGAGAAGGCTAAATGCAGCTTTGGGAAAAGCATGCAACTGACAAACCTCTTTGGGGAAGACACAATCTTCACTGGTTGTTTTTCACTGCACAGAGGAATAACTGTAGTAGCTATGCAGCAAAAGACATGTCCACATGTCTTCCCATTGCTAGGAGACTTCTCTGCTAGAGATTCCCAGGGCAGGTACAGCCACAGAAAGGGGACAAAGCCAGAGAGGCTACAACAGCAAGATTGACTGACTTCAGCCTGGCTCCTTATGCTCTTGGACTCACCTCCAAATTCTCCTTCATCCAGAAACATTAACCCCAAGCTCTGGCTGACTGCATCTATTTTTCAGCAGCGATGCACGCTCAGGCTTGGAAAAACACCGGTCATTAATGGATCCTGCACAGAAAGGGATCACAGGCTACTTGCAGCCCTTAGGCTGAAAAACACATTCCCCCAAATGAAGGGTAAAAGAATTTGCCTCTTTGTTTTAGGGATTGTTCTCCCCAACCCTAAGCACAGGCTGAATATTCATGAACCTCCTATATGAATTGGTTATCTTCTAAAAGCAAATACAAAGTCCCCATTCTGCATGAGGTGCCCAGGAACCAGACAAAGCCAAGTGTCTGCTCTAGCCGTGGGTTTCCCAGGGACTCTGTGTGCTGCTTAAACCAGTTACTACTCTTGCCTATTAAAACAGGATCAAAAATGAACAAAGAGGAAAAGATCCTTCCAGAGCTGTTTGAGGCAGCTGCAGCTAATTCAGACTTCTACATCTCTTGACCTAACATGACTCCCAGGCTGCCACATTGTCTGGGTGGGAAGCCAGAAGGGAAGGTAACGTGATTTTTATTGTAAGAGCTGCTCACCAGTGCAGTCAGCCTAATTTATGTTCATGTTGCTAAGAGTTCATGTTGCTAAGTAGCTTGCCAGCACAGAGGTTCAGCTTCATGTCCGAGCTGTATTTGTGGTAGGAACAAATGGGTGTGTATGAGCACAGAACTGTGTAATGGCCCATCTGCAGGTGTTTGTGGTATCCTGCACAGGGGAAATGGGCATTTGTGGGTGGGAGCACTCCTGAGGTTGCTGAGGATATCTGAGGATGGCTCATTCCTTGTACAGATGATGGAGATGACATGATGGCATTTAAGAGCTGGGTATCACTTGGGAGACAGACACAGGTCCAAGTGAGATGGCAGGAGTGTGAAAAATAAAAAAAAGGTGAGCACTTGCAAGTGTGTACACAAAATACACGAGACATGTCTACGTCTGTGCTGGGTCTGTCAGGAATAGAGTTAGGAAGTTAACTTTTTTTCACAGCACCTGTGTAGTGCATCTGCCTCCCAAAGGGAAGTGGTGAATGAATTCCTTGTTTTGCTTTGCTTCCATGTGCAGCTTTTGCGGTTTTTTGTTATGCTGTAAATATCTTGACCGCAAGGGGATTTTTTCATCCCCTCACCTACTGAGGTGGGTGGCATGAGAGTGGGCATCTGGCAGCTGGTCATGGGCAGCCCACCACTGTCCTGTCATTCAGGTCATCTGCCTCCTTCCCAAGACCCTATGTGCAGACAGTAGAGATTTTTAGGGACACTTTAGGGATTTTTCAGATTCTTTGGAGGCTGGTAAGCAATTCAGAAGGCCTCTGTGGGGAACTGCCTGGGGCTGGGCAATAGGAAGGAGTAATAGGGTCAGACTGACCTTGTGTCTGAATGCCTGGGAACACAGCTGTCATTGCCCCTGAAAATATCATCCAGTGCTGGTCTGTACTATATCCCAGTACAGCAAGTGCCTCTGGGCTGGCCTTTGCCAGACTGGGATTTCTGAATTGCCAGGGACCATTGCCTCTCTGTGCAGCGAGGTGAGGGGGCTGTTGAGAGGGGGGGCTTGGAGGTGCTGCTCCCAGCATGTGCTAAAGAGCAGACCTGGGGCATGTGGAGACTTCCATGGCAGCCTCCCTTGCCCACATCAGTGCAGCTCAGAGCACCAGCCACGTGTGTCCCTTTGCCCATGCTCTGTGCTATCCCAGGACACCAGGGTGCCCAGGACTGTCTCTGCCACTGATTTCTTTCCAGCCCAGAGCAGCCAGGTCTCCTGCAACCACCAAGGGGCAGAGGGGACATGCCCTTGATCGGTCCCTGTTGTATATGTTCCACATCTTCTGTGCAAGTGGCAGAGAGACCCAAGTTCTCCAGAGAACAGTCCTGGCAGGTGTCACCAAAATTGGAGCTTTTCTGAACTACAAGTGATTAGTCTCCACTCACTTCCTTTTTGCAGCCCCTAAGTTGAGGAAACCCTTACCCTCAGAAGATGTTGAAGGACACCAGTGGGACTGATAATTCCATGGGCCTATTGCACACCCTGCAGAAGCAGCAGGCACAGGCACGGTCACTGCATGGTTTATGGGGTTCCTGGACACAAATCCCTTCTGCAGCATGAGACAGAACCTGGCACACGTGCGCCTGGCACGCCCCAGTGCCTCTCCCATCTTCCCCAAGGGCTGAGTGTTTTTCTCAGTGCCTTTGGACCAGCACCTTCTCCACCTCCAGGCCCACTATGCCACAAGACCTTGGCAGCCTCCTCTTTGCCCTGGTCAGACTGACCACCTGCAGCCCCAAGAGAAGGAGGATGAAGAGAGGGTACCACAGTGGCTATTTCTCCCCCTGCATTTTCTATGCTTGTAGGGAGATCTGGGCACAAATGGTGGGGCTCTGCTCTGTGTCCCCTCCCGGCTCCCTGTTCTTGCACTTTTAACCTCTGATCTTCATCCTTTTTCTCCTGCGAATTGTTCCCATTTCTATTGTTTTCCTTTATGCCCTCTCCCCGCTCCACGAGCCATATGTTTTAGTTAGGATCAGCTGACACCCAAACTGAGGGGTAGGGTTTTCCCCAGCACTCCTTGGCTGGTGGCCACATAATTAAAATCAGCAGGGGAGCGGTGGCAGGAACCCAATCTGGCATTAATGAGAGCGGGAGGTTGTTGCGTGACCGGCTGAGCTGCAGGAGCCCGGCCAAACAGCGGCACAACAAATGGCACCGTGTGTGCAGGGCTGTGTTAGCATAACATGCATCTCCATTACACCTGGGCTGCACAGCCTCCCAGCTTTGCCCTGTCCTCATCATCCCTCTTGCATAAGCAAATGATAAAGACTGGATTCTACTCGTTTGCTGTAGGGATTAAAAAAAAAAAAAAAAAAGTCTGACATTTCTGCTTTAGTAGAATTTTAGTGTTTCTGTTTTGCCCATCTCCAGAGCTATTGGGATCCTCATGGGGCTGGTCAGGCTAAGTGATGTGGGACTGGGCAGGGTGGAAAAGGACTATCTTCTCTTTACTGGGAGCCTGCTTCCCTCAGCAGTAGGGAAGCTAGCAAGGTGTCCACAGGCAGGGAGGACCAGGCAGGATACAAAGAGTTGTTAGGCTTTGCTGTCATCACCGCATGGATCTGAACACTGCTTGGGTTTGTGGGATGCAGTTCTTTGGGCCTTACTGCCCTTCAGACCCCCAAACCCTTGTCCTTTCTTTGGTGGAGACTGATTACAGGCTGCCAGCTTCAGAATTCTCTTGGCTGGCCACTCTCTCGCAAAGTCTGTATTAAGAAACTCCTCAATCTAGCTCACTGCTACGTTGTACAGCAAAACATGAGGGGCTTTACAGCAACTACCAGTTGTAGTTGATTTCGGCTGCTCCATGCACAACACAGCAGGGGCTTGCTGACACAGCTCAGCAAGCCAAAGATGCTGCTTTTGCACAGCCTTAACTGGTAGCAGATGTAGCAAAGGTCCTGAAGCCCCTGATGTGAATGCGATCCGATGTAATTATATAGTTTAGCTATTACTATACCCCTGCACACAGCAGTGGTCTCAAACTGGAAGTCTGGAGGCAGTCCATAACCTTAGTGCAATCTTGGGAATTGATTGCAGTCTGAGGAAGCTGGTGCAGGCCAGAGACATCAAAACAGGGTATTGCCCACAATGAGCAATCTTTGCATGGTATTAGCTAAGGAATGACATGTCATGGGTGGTCATATCTATCATCTGTTTAGCTACACCAGCATCATTCACACAGTCAAAGAAGTTATCTCCCTAAAATTTCCCAGGTGGACAATCCTCATCATGGTTTTCTGACATCCACACAATTCAACATTTTCACACTGCTCAAAGCAGCTAAGCAAGTGCCAAACTTTCAGTGTAAGAAACCCTTTGAACAAAAGCAGCACTTTAAAGTCTAGGTCACCATCCAAGAGTTTCTCAGCCTTTCTGGAATAAGGGAATGCATGAGCAGTTTCTGCTCTTTTAAAATACGAATTCAGAATAAATTCTGGCAGGAGAATTCAAAATTCATCACTTGGAGCTGGGAGCCTAACAAGACAGGCAGTGTTTGGTCTGTGTACATCTGGAGAGTTTGTAGTGGCATCTGCATTTCTGCAATAGAGGTGTGACTCATAAGATGTGACTTTTTCCACTCCATGTAGAAAGCAAACCCACCACAGGAGCTTCCACAGACCCTATCTCTTTGCACAGATCTCCACTGGAAAACTCCCATCTCAGGGCAGGAATTCTGAGTTGTGCCCTCAACAGAAGTGATATATGAGCATTTATGATTTTGAGGATGTTTCCTTTGCATGCAGCCTGACTTGACCTCATCTCCAAGGTCAGTGACAGAGTTCTGGGGATGGAGGTGAAGCTGTTCAGTGCTGAGCACAGTAGTGCCAAGCTGCCAGGGGCACTGCTGTGCTGGTTGGTGAGGACATGGAGTGGCCCCCACATCTGTCAACAGCCGAAAATTGCCATTGGGAGATGGCACCCAGCCACCAACAGGAAGTGCACCCTGGTCTGCAGCACACACTTGCTGTGGTTGTGGAAAGTGCGCACCTGCTCTCAAAAGCCTCTATGGGCACGTTCACAGGGGTGAATCACCAAGTTCTCCTGTGCAATGACAACTGTATCCCAGCAAAACCCCACTGCAGGGGCCTCCTACTGGCTTTGTAGAACCTTCCACAGGCGGAACCTCCCCAGCACCTAAAACTGCCCCGGGCTTCAGCTCTAAGAAGAGCTGTTGAAATGTCACCTGCAAACATGATTTACGTGATTCAGCAAGACAATATTGCACTCCACTGCAATATTGTTGGGCTGACCTGGGATTTAAGTGTAAGAGGGTCAGACAATAACATTAAAGACAGGAAGTGTGCCTGTGCAATAGGTTAGATACGGAACAATGTCCTGTCATAAACAGAGTTTGGCTTCATCTACACAGAAGGGATCGGCCTAAGTTTATATATCACAGCCTTGCAGAAATCATCGACCAAATCCTGATATTTCACTAGCTTCAAGAGTGGTGATAACTCAGAAAATAGATGCAGTTCTAGTTCTCTGTGGATGAAAAGGATTGATTTTCCAGTACCTCAAGGGGAATACTCTACCTGGCTGCTTCAGGGCTGTGGTATTTGCAACAGGGATGGGACTTTGGCAGGCCAAGAAGTAGGAGGCAAGAACAAGTCATGAACTGTATCTGTGAGGCCACAACAACAGATGGGGCTGGAGGAAAATCATCCAAATGAAAATTGTCCATGGGTGAAGCAAAGACCGGCTTGCAAAAACCTGTCTGTGAACTTGCCCGTGCAGAATGGGTGTTTGGGTCTCAGTCCAAGCCCTCCTGGAAGCTCAGTGGTGTAAGAGGCTAAGAGTCAGAGCAGGAGAGATCCCAGGGTTCATATCAGCAGAGAGTTCAGACCAGGTAACAGAGTCCAAATCCAGCAGCTCCTTTGTCCAGTGATTCATGAGGATGAGGGCAGTTTTGCAGAATCACAGCTTCAGGCTTTTGGATGGTTTGAAGGCACCTCAGTGCTGATGCATATGAACTGCTCTCAGCTGAGCTCTGTGAGGAGAGAGCATGGATGGCATTTGACCAATTCTGGCTTTATCCACTCCCTCTGTATCACCACCATCACAGACTGAAGGGATTGCAGGAAGGGTTGCTCAGCTGCCTCCCCCACTCTGACTGTGGTAGGAGGTGAGAAAGCATGGGCTGTGTTTTCATCCAGCCTGGAGGAGACTGTGAGGAGCCACTGCAACAGGCTTCAATCAGGTGAAAGGTCACTGCAAAAGGCAAGGGGAGAAAAAAGAACCTGTTCTCTGTTCCCACTGGGGAAAAACCAAACTCATGTGCCTTAAACCCACATCAATACCATTAACATTCTCTAAATAGTAAGGTGAGTGAATCACTTCCTGAGTAGGCTGGAGGGTTGTAGGGCTGTTAAATACATGTCAAAAAGTATCTGTCAGGTACGGGCTAGATTTACTTAATCCTGCCTTGGAGAGGAGGATGAGTTAGTTGATCCCAAGGTCTTACTCTGTGTTCAGTGATTTCCCCATTCTTCATGGTACTGAGGAACCAAATACAGCTATTAAAAACTTTGTAAGATCCCTATTAGTTTGTGTTTCTTCCATTAAAAAAAACCAACAACAACAAAACAAAACAAAACAAAACAAGAACTCAAAAACAACAACAAAACAAAAACTCAAAAAAACCCAAAGAGACTCACCCATGGTTTATTTAGGAAGGAAATAGATATTCAGGGAAGGAAAACATCCTCTATTTATTCCGTAGTCAATGCTTAAGGGAGGACTGTGAGAGGAACCAGGTCCTGCAGTGCTTTCTAAATGCAGGCAAAACTCGTCCTGTGGGAACAAAAAGATAAACCACAGTCAGCATAACAATCTCTCCTGTGTCTCTAGTTTCTTGAACTGGTGGCTTTCAACTTCTCTGACTATAGATCTTCCCATGATTTTCTCCCTTTGAAGATGCAGGCCCCATACAGTGAATTTAAAGTGGCCAGCAAAAGGCTTGTTCTCCTTAATTACCTTCCAGAATAGAGTCTGCAGGCCACAGGTCAAAGGGCACTTTGCTGAAGAGAATTCAGAGTTAGGCTCTTCAAGTGCAAGGGATCAGGCATCTGAATATGGGATTGCCTGGGGCTCTGCCTTGGATTACGCTCCCAGGGAGCATTTTGTACTTGGGAGCTCTTCTTCGGGACAGACCTGACAAGAAGTTCAGTGCCAAGGGGGCTGTGCACAGGCAGAGGGAAAAAAAAATGTCTTTTTGATTTACAGTGACAGACTGGTCTATAACCCCCCTGGGGCTTGTCAGCAGCCTCATCACAGGCTGCCCTGCCATTTCTCACGCACTCATGGAAGTAGCTGGGCCTGTGCTCAGACACGGGACATGGTGTCTTCCTAGGCCATTTGCAACCCTCACGAAGTTCCCTGACACACACATCTCAGGACAGTGACACTGCACAACTTTTGTGGCAGGGTAGGAGCCTTGTTGATGTTACATGAGTTTCTCACTGCTATACTTCCTGGGGGCTGCCAGGAGTTTCTCTTTCAGTTCATGCCCCGGGGGGCTGGAACACACCATATTGCAGCACAGAGCATTGTCAGCAGAGACTGAAATGGGTTGTGCTTGGCAAGCACAGTGGAAAGGAAAAAGAGGGTGACCTGGGAGGATTGCTGTTCTCACTTCATTTTTCCATTGCATCTGCTGGTTTGTTGGTTTTTTTTTTTCTACCAAGCCCAAAGAGAGAAACAACAGAAACAAAATAAAAATGGGTTCTCTCACTGCAAGTGCTACAGCAGGGGAACATTGTTGAAGAGACCAAAGCAGGAAGGTCTGGGTTATATTCTCCATCCTTTCACTCACTTCCTTCTCTGTCTTTTCCCTCCCCGTCTCGCTTTCTCTCCAGCATCCTATCACCACTGTCTCTCAGGGTGCTGAGCTGATGCTTGTGCTGGTGCTTTGACAGGGTACCAAGGAATTATATCACTCACAGGGTGGCCCTGAAGAGACATTTTTGAAAGCACCTCAGCTCTCCCTACAAAGTATTGTCAACATATACAATGGCTCAAATACAACAGCAATTGAAGGTGACAGGAATAGCATTGTCCTCTGATCTACAGGCAGCAGCCTCTGACTGCTCAGAGGGGCTGAGTGTCCTGGCGAAGTATTGACCTCAAAGCTCAAACTTTATAGAGGGTGCTGGCCTCCTGCAGCACCACCTCCAAAACACCTCTGGCAGAAGGTGAATCTCATTAGCATCTCCCTCCCCTAGAGAAACCTGGCCCTTGCCACTGGGTCCAACACAGCCCCTTCTCTGGCTGGCTTGGCTGAGCATCCAAGGAATGGGTGGTCCAGGCAGGTCCTGTCCTGCAAAGGAACTGGTATGGGGAAAGGTTGTTCTGCCACCCTCTGGGCTGCACCCTACCTCCCCAAGGCAAAGCATACAGTGTTGGGCTCAGGCACACCATGTGTCCCTCAGGAAATCTGCTTCACCCTTCCCTACTGGCATGTCTCCTGCACCACCTGCCTCTATCCATCCCCTGGCAGCAGGAGAGCCAGAGGACAGGGGTTATCTGTGCTCCACACCAACAGTCTGGCAGCTTCAATTGCCCATTTCCATGACAGCGTCACGGGCTGCAGAGAAAGGTTTACAGAGGGCACAATGCCAGGAAAGTCCCTGGAGAAGGTCTACGTAGAGAAGCTTTCCTTTTAAACCACAATCTCACCCATGACAACTGATCTGTCCTAGAACTGAATACAGGGAAAAGGTATTTATTTTTATGCATTTGAATGGCAATGGGCACAAGGAAGTCACCTGAACTTGGCTCCCCCTTCACTGACAGAGCTGAAGTGGCTGAGGGAATCGCAGCTCCTAAACCTCAGAGCAATCATGTGCTTGCTTGCAAGAAAAGTTTTGAAGCTGAAAGACCCTGTAGTCAGACCTGGAAACAGAAAAGCTAGCATTTCTTCACTCCATAGCATGTCTCTGAGAACCACAGGTACCATGAAGTGCCTTGAAACCAGACAGCAGCTAAAAGCAGGCTCCCAAAGTTAGGACACTTTTCCTAAGGCCAGGGAGGAGGCTGTGTGTACGCCCTGCCTCTGAGTGTAGTCTCAGGCAAGGCACTGTGCTCCTTTCCTGAGGTTGCCTGTACCTCAAACCTCCTAAAAGTAACCTTTCCTGGTCTTGCTTTAACTCTCCAAGAACCTGAATTCCTCTGCAAGCCCAGCACATACCAGTCTCCACATTCGGCTGGCCAAGTAGACCCTCTGGAGCTGCAGCCTGGGCACTTAAATTGCTCCTCCTGTATTTCAAATGGCTCTTGCAAACCTCCTGTAACCTGAGCAGACAAAATCGGTGCTGGCTCTGGAAAGTAGTTATGCAATATGCAAGAGGTAAAACCCTCCTGGCAGGGGCACGTGAAAGGAGATACAAGTGGGAGGCTCCAGTTGCTGAGGTGAACACCATGTCCCACGAGAAGACTGGGAGAGAGGAGATATACGTGTCATAGAGCCATAGAATGGTTTGGATTGGAAGGGACCTTAAAGATCATCCAATTCCAACCCTCACTCCAGTGACTGTCTCCCTCCTTGATGCTGTTCTCCCAGACCATCTCTGCCGGGAAGGGTGAACGGATCTGGGCAACAAGATGAAGACACTGCTGAAAAAAGCAGCAGTCTGAATCTGAAAAGCCAATTGACAGGAAGCCTGTGCAGACACTGTTCACCATTGTGAACATGCTTCAAGTATCACCTTTTTGCACTCAAAGCTGTCAAGTCAGCCACATGTTCACTGAATTGTATCTTGTCATCCCTCTCCCAACGCTACCCTGGAGCATGCAAACACTGGAGGCTCCTGAGGCAGAGCTGGGAAGGTGCTGGGCTCTCCCACAGGGTGCAGCCCACCACCTGTTGCCCTGGTAAGTGTGCCATGCCATGCCATGCCATGCCATGCCATGCCATGCCATGCCATGCCATGCCATGCCATGCCAGGCTCCTCTGCCAGCCAGGCCCTGCTGCTGCCAAGGGCAGGGTTTGGCTGAGGCAGACCGGCTCTGGCACGTGTGAGCAGCAGGGCATGGATCCTGTTTCCTTGCACTGGCATGTGCTGCACTGTGTGGTGGGGCTGTACAGGCTCGAGCCGTCCTGTCTCCTCAGGTGAAGTCTGAGGCTGCTCCCACCCCTGCTGCTACAGGGACAGCTGCTCCAACCTGTAAAGGCAGGATTTTGCCCACAGCATGTTTTTCTCCAGCCATGCAAATTAATTTGGAATTAACCAAGAAGTGGGATCTAACCAGTGCTCTGCACCACCTACCTGTGCTGGAGTTGCTGGTATTCCTGTTCTCTTTTTCTCCCTGCTGAAAGCCTGCAAGTCGCCAGCTCCATGGAGGTGCCCTCCCACCCTCAGCCAGAAAGACCTGACTTCCAACACTTCCAGTTCAACTGTGAACAAATGTCCACCAGTTTCTTGCTGCATTCTCCTGCATAAGCCATGCAAAACATTTGGATTTTAGCTGCAGAAGGTCTTGCACCCCATTCCCTTCTAACTCTTGCAAGAAGCCGCCTTGCTTTCCCCTGCCTGATTAAGCACATTCCTTCCTCTCTCCTTTGGTCGCTCTGCCCTGCAGCAATTTCCAAAGCATTTTTGTGGCATCCAAGTCCTGGAGACAAATTCATGAGCTGTGGAGATGTGGTTTCTGTCATGTGCTCTCAGCTCAGAGTCCTGGCTAGTGCAGGGGCGGTGGGTCCACAAGCATGAGGGCACCCACTGTGCTCCTTTCCTGAAGGTCAAGGGGTGTTTACTGTTTCACAGCTGTCTCTTTCTAAGTGAAATCAAATTGCTCACTTTGAGCTGATTGGGAAAAATACTGTCTGTGCATTCTCTCTCAGGTTCCTGACCCTCAAAATAATAATAATACTTATGTGGCCTGGAAGAAATTATTGTTAACCATAAGCCTGGGAACTGCTTCTATTATTCAGCTTTATGGGAATCCATACAGCTCCCATGGAAAGGGATTATTTACCTAGGCCCTGAGAAAAAGTGGAGGAGCCTGCATGCTCCTTCTGGCTATTGTATTGCCAAATCCCACAGCAAGGCGTCCGGAGAGCGGTTTCCTCTAGCTGTCATTAATCCTTGTGGGCTTGGCGACCTCAGCACACGGCATCCTTTGGGTCGCTGGCTGCTGGGAAGGCAGACTATTGTTTCAGGGCTTTTGTCCCAGACAGAGGAGCTGAGGAACCAGGCTTTTCAGGTGTCCCCATCACAAAGTGACTGGCTTGCAGCCTGGCACTTGCTCAGGCCTTTCCTAGCTCTGCTGCTGGGAAGCCAGCTGGATTTGGACCCATTTTGATGAGGCCAGAGGAAGGAGTGGCTCTGGGGTGTCCCAGTATGAACTGTGCTCATCCTGCATGAGGGAGCTTTCCTGCATACCTGCAGCTGCAAGGGGATGGCTCCAGCACAGCCCCCATGGATGGGATGGAACACCCAGGATCCTCAGCTTCCTCCTGGCCCCTGCCTCCCAGCCTGATCTTCTAATCCCTGCAGGGCAGAAGCAGGAAAGGCCCAGTTTCAATTCAGTGCATGAATTGGAGCAAAGGAAATGTTCTCTCTTTCTAACAGCTAAAAGAAGTCTTGCAGGGAGGCTTTCTAACAGGGATGTTGTACATGGCATGTATGTGAATAAATGTGCATGGAAGAAATTGTGGCATGGAGGGAAACCTAAACAGGCCCTTCATTCTTGCCATGGGCTTGTGGAGCCTTTTGTGGTTCTTTTATGATGGCAGCCTGAGAGGAAGAAACAGAAATGTGTGTTTTCCAAGCCAGGGTTCAAAGGGGGTTTATAGCTCTGGTGGGAAAGTCTCTGTTCAAGGTTGCACCTGTCTCAGCACAAACTACACTTTAGAGACAGCTCAGAAAGGAAGCGAGCTGTTATTTCTTCCCTCCTGATGCTGGCATGCAGTGCACTGGTGAGCTTGGAAAGAGCTGCTTTTCTCTCTCTAGGTGAGGCATATAGCAATGCCTTCCTGTGGGCATTGCTCCCCACTCCTGTCCCTCTCAGGGTTTCAGGAAGGCCCCAGAGCAAAGTAGCCAGCCCCTACTGCCACCACATTGTGACTAGAAGCTTTCCTCTCTGGCTTGCAGTTGGAGCTCCCTCTTCCTGCCTTTTCAGGGGTGTTGTGTGCCACCACAGCTTTGCCAGTGGCAGCAATATTATGTTGATGCTGCAATCCCTCTTTTTTGGTAACTCATTGCTTTGAGAGGTGCTGCTGATAGATTAGGATAGGAATGAGAAAGTCACTTTTTACAGCAGCCCAGCAGTGATGCCAGAAGTGCATCTAGGATCTGAAAAATGTCTGTCTGATGGGCACCTTAAGCAGAGCTGTGCCACTGTCCCCCCACCAGTGCCACCTGGGCAAGGGACACAGGGAGAGTCTGTGGGTCTTCCCACCCACACGGCATAGGGCTGCCCCAGAGACCCCTGAGCTGGTGCATCTCATGGCCCTGTGTGCAGTGCTGGTCTGGGGCTGGGGGCACACCAGTGAGGTCCCCTGCCTGGGCTCCCAGCCTACACCTCCAGTGTGGAGGTGCAGGGACCCAGCTGTGCAGCTGGCCCAGACAGCCTCCATGCCTTGCAGGGATCACAAAGCACTAGTGTGGCCTGAGGGACCTGCCCAAGGTTCCCCTGGGAGTCTGCAGCAGAGCAAAAGTCCGAGCTCTGTGTGACCCAGCCAGCACCTGGTGGAAGCAGAACCACCCTAGTCCCTGCATCAGCCTTCTGCATGGGGGAGTGGGGTGATGCTGCACTCAGGTATCATTCCCTCCATCCTCTCCCTGATTTTGCCCACTGAGGGGCATGCAGGGGCAAGGAGGGACACCCTTCCCCTCCCCTGTGCTCAGCGGATGCAGTGGCAGTGGCCGCGGTGGCAGCTGGACAGAGCTGCTTTCTCCAGCACAGTGCTGCCATTGTCCAGCTGGGCTCTGGCCCCTCTCATCCCCACCAGGCAGGCACAGCCAGGACCTCTGCAGCCCAGCAGCACAGACAACAAGGTGAAGGGGATGGATGGAAGCCTCTGGAGCAGGCAGCCCACCTTTGTGTCTCCATGGTGCAGCCCCTCTGCTTTTCGAACTTCTTTGCAAGAGATGATATAATGGAGCACAGTAAGGTGGTGGCTAAGAAAAGGAAAATCTGAATGAATAGGAGGGGGAAGGGAGAGCAGATGACGCTGAGATGTGAGGGGCAAGGCAGAGCCAGTGAGACAGAGCTGGGCTGCGCGCCGGAGAGGAAAAGCCGTGTGCCCCGTGGGAGCTGGGCTGTGGGAAGAGACAATGCGATGGAAGGGAAGGAGCCAGCTCCCACTCTGGGACAGGCACAAGGCTGCAATTAGAGAGAGGAGACAGCATGTCTGCCCGGCCTGGGAAGTCTCCTGCCATGGACACAGGGTCGTGCAGGGGCTGGGGCAGAACCCCCCCTGCCTGGCCTGTGCCCCTGCACTCAGCTCCCCTTCGACTGGCAGAAGCCCAAGGGCAGACACTGGCAGTACCTGTGGCTCCAAGGTACAGGGGCTTTCCTCCCTAGCACTGGCATGAGATGTCTGGGTTGCTTTGTGCCACTGCAGTGGCACGGTCATACCCCTTCCCTGGGTCAGCCCTCCTGCCCTGGCCACCCTGGGCAGCCCCCTCCTGCCTCCTAAACCAGCTGAGCAAATACCAATGTCCTCCAGGCAAGCAGGTTGCTTGACTGCTCACCTCTCACAGCAAGCACCCTTCTGTAGGCTTTTGGAATTTTCCTGGATGAAGGATGCTATGGAAATATGTAACTCCAGAGGACAAGCTCTGGTTTTAGTGTCCTCCTCTGCACTGCGATTATCTAGCTCCCAATGGAAAATGCAAACTTGTTTGGAAACAGTCTCTGGGTTTGGCTTGAAAAGGCTCAGAAAATACCATGCAAGGGTCACAAACTTTTAGCACAAGCCATGTTTGGCTGGGGTTGTGAAAGAGGAGGGAGGAAGAGGAGGAATATGAGCACACACCATTTTTGCTGCCACAAACTTGGCTAGGAAACTCTTTGCGCTTTGCTCCCTCTGGACATAAAGAAAAGAGTTTGATGCTTTTAAAAGAAAACAAACGAGTTTTCAGCCAGAGGAACTGATTTTCAAATTTGCTTTTAACGACTAATTTTCACCACCCAGCCAAGAGGCAGATGAAGCAGAGCTCCTGCAGACTTCTGCTGAAGTGACAGCAAAGCGAGATGCTTGAAAAAAGCCATCAACTCCTGGCAGAGACAGAAGAAAAAGAAGAGCCCTGGTGAACCAACAGTGTTTTTTTAAAAAATATAAAATAATATACTTCAGACTTGGAGTGGTTTTCGCTTCCTGATCAACAGTTTTAAGCCTACCCAACTGCTTTCGTCTTTTTCTGGTTATTTAAGATCTCTTAACCGAGGTGAAATTAAATACGAGGCTCGGGAGGAGACCTGACT